ATTTGCTGTTCAGATCCTCTCTTCTGTCTTTCAAAACCTTTCTTAACAACCTGAGAGTTTTGTAATGCGATCTGATAATGTATAGTAGGTAGCATCAGCTATGTGTGAAAGCAGAGCAAAAATAACCCATTAATCATTAAAATAATCAAAACAAGTTGCATGGCTCTGGCATTACGGTGCGGAAAATATAATCAGTCATCTCAAAACCATATGAAAGGGTTGATGTTCCTGATACTTAATGCTTTGCTCTGGGAATGCTCTAGTATTGTGGACTGCTAAGTTCTCAAAGAGTTAAAGGAGATGAGGATATATATATATTTCTAGTAATGCTGGCCAGGCTGGTAGACCTTGGCACATAGTAGATGACTTTCCTCTTTTATTTCAAATAAAAGTATTGTACTAAATACAGTGTTTAAATGAATCAAATGAAGCTTCAAATTATATAAAAGCTGAATAATTATTTTAGATTAAATTGCAGCTTTCACTTCTGCCTTTCTGGCCTAATTCAGTTTTAACGTTCCTCTAAGCCCTGGTGTCCCTGCTGTGTACTTGGGTTGCTTGAAGAAACTGAGGGTTAGTGTCATTTTCTGATATGTGTTCAATGAAGGCAATTTTGATAGTCCCAAGAGAGCTAGAGGAGGAAGTTGTKCAACCTGTGGAAAGCAGAGCTGGACCGGCGCTGCTCTCTGCAATCGGATACTCTGGAGAGCCTCCGGCCGCGCTCGCGGCGCCATAGCAGGTGCCCTGCTTGGGAGCCCCATGGCCCTGGCGAGCTGCGGCGAGCGCTTCCCTGCCGCTGCTCTCCGCCTGCTTCTCCCCCTCCCTGGCATCCCGCAGGTGGGGACTTCTTCATCCACCTTTCTTTCCAGATACTTAGGAAAAGTTCAAAGTCATCACAAGGACTATGATTCGGGCATGTTTTAACTTTAATTTGAATTTAAAATGCAAATTATATTTGAAAATGTAAATATTTTAGCCTTAACTCTGTATTTGCATTATACAGGTTCTAAAAAGTAACTTTTCATTACATGGTAATGTACAGGTAACTTGAAGCTTTCCTTTTCAGGTACATTTTGGAACAAGAATCTTTATCCAGTAGGATTTGGCTTGGTTAGTGTGAATTTCCTTGGCAGATTTAAGTAAAAATTGTAAATGTACTTGAGAAGTTCATTATCTGATACTTCAAGATTTTGCTAGTGAGCCAAATCTTAGAGTTAATTCTTTCAGGTAGAGTATTGTAAGGGGGTTAATGTCAGAATCCACTGGGGGATTGATGGATTTGTATGAAGAAATATGAACAATAATTGTGCAGATAATTGTAATAATAATTTTTTTCTTGGCGTGCAGCTCTTTTTTTCTCTTCCTGCTTGCAACCTATTATTACTTCTAGAGAAAAATCTTTTTCTGCACAAAAGGTATGAATTGTCAATCTGATATTAAGGATGGACTATTTGCGTTATACAACAAACACTGCATTTTAGGGGACAGCTCTTCTATAAAATTCCAATTAAGAGTAAAGTACAAAAAAGAGATGTAATTGAAAAACAACCACCCACATGTTATAGTGGGAGTGATCCAAGACATTTGGAAATGGTGTCTCGCTGCTCTTCTCTGAAAGAGCTTCCATGTTCTCGAGATGAAAAAAATGTGTCTTAGGAGGTTTTGCCCTTGCCCGTTTCCCTTTGGCTCTCCATAGAGCATGGGCAGGCTGAGATGCTCTTCAAAGTCAATTAGCTCAGCTTTGTGGGAGGAAAAGTTTGCCTGCAAGGGTATGGGATGTAAGGAGGGTGCTCATCTCACCCAGGGAGGGTATTCATTATTTGCAGTTGTTAAGACCTGGCCTGTGCTCTTTCTGCTCAGCCTTTACATCAGAGGGTGCTGATTGTGGAGGTAGCTCTGTATAGAGCAGTACAAACTTCACTTTCTTTCAGAAGGAGAAAATTGAGTAAGGAAGGAATGTAAATGGCAGGAGAGGGAAGTGGGGATAGTGGCTAAACAAACAATGTGAAGTGCTCATAGTTCAGGCTCAAAGTTTATGCTGTGATTTCACAGCAGGAAGGAGATTTCACTGAATCTGCATGCTTAGGAGTTAGCAAATGATCCTCTGTCTTTCAAACAAACAAAATAAATTTCTATCTTTGAGTTGAAATTCCCAGTGAACTGTGTGATGAGCTTTCCACTTGGCTTRGACACAGAGACTGTGGGGAATGGTCCCCTTGAGCTGTGTTCATATAGGCACAGTGCCCCCGCCACAGTATTCTTAGTTTTGCTCATTTGTGTTTTGTTTTAGTCTAGAATAGGATAAAATTCTGCTAAAGTAAGATTCATTTAGTACATTTAGTTAGATCAAATGATCAGTTTTAGTAATTATTTCATATTCTATATGTATAGCCTCCATTTTTTGCCAGGTTTTGCTTTGTGGGGTGCATAACTGGCAGAAGGTTCATTTCAGGTTCATATATAGTTTGCATGGGCCTCAGTGGGAAGCCACGTCTTGTCCTACTGCAAAACTTAATTAGTTAAAACATAGAGGTTTTGTAAAATTATTAAAAGATATGCAACAACATTTGGTTGCAAAGAATAGTTTATAATTTAAATTCTTCTGTTAAGATTTGCCCATCAACGTGTGTACAGATGGATTGCACTGGGTGACTCCTGGCAGAGCCGGTGGACGTCTTGCGACTTGCACGAGTCTCAAGTTGGCTCTTCTGAGTGTCAGTTGTTTTCCCTCTGCTTCCAACAGCCCCTTCATTTCCTGCAAAACTGTCAAAGCCCCAGCCAGGGGAGCGTGTCCTTTGGAGGCAGATGGGCATTGACTTCGGTGGCTCTACCTCTCAGACTTGAAATGTGCCTGCTTGTGAATGGGCYGTAAATGCTGAGGCAAAAGGGTGCTGCTGTGATCCCGAGTGAGCTGTGGACATCCTGCTGTGTGTGTGTGCGYGCGCGTGTGTGTATGGGGGTGAAGCTGCTGCTTGTCCTGCACAGCAGCGGGCTGGCCGGGCTGCTGGGCCGCTCTGCGCACTGCGGCTCCTCTGCTACTTCCTTTGTCATTGGGTTGGTGCTCTCAAAAAATAGCTGTGTGATTTTATACCTCGTCTGCTCCAGAATCGTCAGAAAGTTGTGTTCCTTCAGGGTTTGCAGAGGGTGGATTTCTTATTTGATGGAAATATTTTATGTTTTCAATATTTCATATGCATTTTTCATATATGAAATGATACATTTTTATTTAAGGAACATTTATTTTTTATCTCTACATGGAATCAAAAGAACRAATCAACATGAAATATTTGGCAGTATGTTCCTGTTTCTGGGGTGTATTGCTCCTGGAAGGATGATTTCTGGTACCCTCTTCAAGGCAGCCTCTGCAGCAACTTCTAGAGTGCTTTTTAGCCTAAGCAAGGCTTGCTCCTGAGCTCCCTTAGCTTTGCTCATCTGCTGGGCTTTGCTGTGGATGCCAATCTCAGCAGTTTAAACAGGCTAAGTGAACAAAGATAACACACCGTTTTGGAATGGGTTGGAAGCTAGAAATTAAAGGGCTAAGACAACGATGACCCTTTCTGTGTCCAGGGGCTGTGTCAGAGGCCAAAATGGTGCTTTAGAAACTGACWCAGAGCAAGGGAAACGAAACAAAAAATTGGCCCCAACAGAGCAGATTCGGAGAGGCAGCTTGACCAAAGTCTGAGTTTCCTTCCATTAGACAAAATGGGAGGAACTGTCACCTTCTTCTCTCTCTCATGATGCTCTTGAGTTTTTCAGGCTCTGTTTTGCAGATGAATGAAGCTACTTGTCTCATTGCTGTGTAGGTGCTACAGAAACTTAGATTATTGCCCCTACACACATGCTGTTGTCCCACTTTAGCTGATTCTTATTGCTAGTGACTTACAAGAGAGATGCCAGTAAAGAAGAACATTATTTTTTTTTCTTTGCAGATGTTAGATATGCGTACTTACTCTTCTGTGGTTCTCCCCTATAATTTCTTTTGAAAAGTGAGGCTCTATTGTACATGGCGCTGTTGTAGCCTTGTGGTGTTTCACTATCTTCTTTCTCGTCTTCCAGGAAAGTAAATTGAAAAAATGTTTCCATTTAGTAATGAAGAAAMAGACAAACTAAATGACAATTATGTGTATTTAGAGTAGGTTTATAAAAATCTCAGGAACCTTTAACAATGAAGCAAAACATTCTAGCCCTTGATAATTGGTAGTATCTGGGATTCCAGGGCCAGGGTCCTGCCAAGCGCTCACGTGAACGATCCGTTATGGGGCGAAGAGCAGGAGTGTTGAGGGAGCCACTGAGGGGCAGTGGCCTCGCAGCTTTGGGGATCGAGGCCCCTTTGGAGGAGCCAGACACGCAGCCTGGTCAGCTGTTTGCTCCTGAGCGATGAGGAAGGGCCAGCCTTTCTCTGAGGGGAGCAAGCCGCTGGGCTTGCACAGCTTGCAGCAGCCCTGCTCGTGTTTGGCGCTTGCCAGTTAGTGCAAAGTGAGGGAGAGAGTTTGCAGGGATGGCACAAACCTGCTTCGTGGTGCCGCCTTGCTGCCCAGGCGCTTGTGCCAGAGGCTGTGAAGGCACCGGCGTTGGCGCCCAGTGACATGGACCCTCCCCGGCGACTAGGATGGAGCAGCAGGCCAGCGGTATTCCTGCTTCTGCCTCCCGTGTTCCCTGCTCCTCCACTTGGTCCATTAGCTGGGAACGTTTCCTTTGGACTGAAATGGCTTCTGACTCATCACTGGTGAAAAACTTTGCAACCTTTTATGCCAATACCCCAGGGCTTCCAAGCCTTCTGTAACTGAATACTTAATATTTAGGAACAAGAGTGACTTAACCAAATGGGCAAGTCTGTAAGTTTAGCTGTGACCTCCTTGAATTTATATGCATTTTGGAAATAAAGGTTGAAATATTCGTGATGCTACTGTATCTTCTCCTAATGTATTCCACAATCTCTGTTCCTCCCTCAGATGCAGACAGCAGATAATCAGAAATGATCTTTTGTTTTCCCTACATAGGTAATTGGAACTGAGGACCCTCAAATCAGCCCTCCAAGACTTTATGCTCACGGTAAAGGACAACCACTAGCACAGCAAGATGTAATCCACCTTGTCAGCAAGCTGCTGGGGCAAACACAATATATGGTATGCTTCACAGCTGAAATATTGGTGACTGGAGTGTAGGGCGTGGAGTAACCCAGGTTCCCATGTATGAGTTTGCTCAGGTACCAGGAGTGGTATAGGAAAGCATAGGGCTGGTGCCCTAGGAGGGTGGTGTGTTCCCTGCTCGGGCCTAGCGGCCACCCTTTYGTGCTGAGTGCTAACGTTACGTTTGGATCCGTGGGCTGAGTGGGCAGCCCCAGCACCTGCCACGGGCCGGGCCACAGGGTCAGGCAGCCCAGGGTGCATGACGGCCGTGTGCTCCAGCGCATACTCCCTGTGACAGCTGATATTTTCAAATCAGATGATGGCTCAGCACAGAGACGAGGAGCTGCAGGAGAGGCGAGCGTGGCACTCTGTGGAGGTTTCGTGGCCCCTTGCTAGCTGCCTTGTGCCCAAGGGTGCCCTGTGGAAGGGGGATGTTGTATGAAACCTCGCAGTCCCACAGCCCAGGGAAGGCAAGAGAAGCGTGTGGGGTTCGTTGTCCATCAGGGACAGCTCAACCCCCTATGCTTCTCTCGCCCCACCGGGGGCAGCTTCGTGCCCGGCCGCGCTGCCCGGGGGCTCTGGGGGGCGCGGGGCGGGTGCGGGGGGTGCGGGGGCGGGGGGGGGATGTTGTGAAGCTCTCGCTAGCGCTGCTTGTGGTCACAGCCAGGCAAGCTCACATCCCATCTGGATCGCGCTCACTCTCTCCCTTCTGCTTTTCTACCATAGAGTTGCACTGGAAACAGAAGATAGAGGGAGTGTAGGAGCTCGCCATCTCCAAGCGATCTACATTGGGAAAAAACATGGAGTCCGCTCCGGCAGCCCCCGATCCAGCAGCTAGTGAGCCGGGCAGCAGCGTCCCCGAGGCGGCTGCCAGCGCCAGGGACACGCCGGTGACCGTGGAGCCTGCCCGGAAAAGCGACGCGCCGGCCGCCGTGCGCAGGCAGAGCTACGYGAGCAGCGGCAGCAGAGGTGGGAGCGCGGGGGAGGGCGCCGGGCAGCGGGGCCGCGGGTGGGTGGGCAGAGCGCGAGGGGGGYGAGGGAGAAGGGGGCAATCGCAGCCGCTTCAGCCCCTGCCCTGCTGTGGCGCCTCCCGGCGCGTGGGCCAGCCGCGCTCCTGCCCCCTGCGAAACCTCCCAAACTTTTATCCCCGCTTTTAATTGCCGCGGGAGGAGGGACGAGGACAGCAAAAACACAGAGCGYGGCTCACTGCTGCTGCTCCCCCTCGTCTCCCTCGTTTATTGCCTTCGTATCCGGCTGGGTGCCGTGCCCCAAGATTACATAATTTCATAAATGTCCAAAGCAACAGCGGGAGCGCAGGGATTGAAGGGAACAAACTTTCCAAGCGGCCGTGTCCTCCTCCTCCCTCGCCCCGCCGCGTTTGACAGTTTCTGGGCTGGCACAGAGCTGCGCGGGGAGCGGGGCGGCCAGAGCGCCGCGCTGAGGGGCACTTGTTCGCTCCCCCGCACGCTGCTTGCCTCCATGCACCTACGTCCAGGAAATACAGGGCTATATGTCGATATATGTGTATATAGCTGCATTTCCCGGTGGAGTTGGCAATCCCTTGGCGCGGCTGCTCGTTCTTGAAGGCACCCAACTTGGCCGAGGGTCGCTGCCCTGGTGGCTGCGCAGCCCCTGCTGCCACGTTAACCCCATGCGGCTCCACGGTGGTCGCGGGCGGGCGCGCAGGCCGGGGCGCCCGGCGCTGCGGGAGCTGCCGCTTTAACGAGTTGTAAATACAGCGTGGGGGGTGGGTGCCACCGAGGCCCCGCTCSGCGACAGGCACAAATTACTGAGCTCGGGCTCTGCGGGCATGCGGGGAGCCGCTCACAGAAGTGACAGGCGGAGAAAAGTCGGAGCCAGGTGGGAGCAGCAGCCCCCGGTGGGGAGCAGTTCCCGCGGGCAGGCGCGCGCGCTCGCGCTGCGGGCTGGAATATGGCTGATCATGTGCTGGCCTGGGCTTTACAGGATTTTTCCCCTTTTGGCCACACCCCCCCTTCCCAGGCAGCTTCCCACGCAGGGAAGCTGCGCGCAGTAAACGGCTCCAAGCTGCCACACGCGCGTAGCAGGCGGCGCGGGGCAACAGTGCAGCCGGGTGCGGGGCCGAGGCCGGGGGGCCTCGGGCTGCGTGTGGAGAACTCCACACTGAGTGCGAATATATTTAGAGCTTGAGAGAGTGGATGTGGAATGCAAGCTGGTTATATAACGCAGTTAATGAGAAACACTGCGGAAAATTCCCTTAATTTGCCCACAACTTTCGGGCCACTGTCGGGGCGGCCGTGGGGGGCGCCGGCGCCCATGGGCAACTTGGCCTCATGTCTCTTATGTAATGCCCGGCCCTGGCTGCGGTGCGGAGCCTGCGCTGGGTTGGGGCCGGTGGCCCGTGCCCCTTCCCCGCGCCACGTGGTTGCGCAGCCGCTGCTAACCTGCTGACCCACATGTACTTCCCCCGAGGGGCGAGCGCGCAGCCGGGCCCACGCACACGCGGCCTGCCAGGGCCTCCYCGCCAAGCGCCGTGTTATGTAACAGGCTGAACGAAAGCGCTGAGGTCGGCGACAGCCGTGAGGGTTCCGCAGGGGGACCGAGCRCTCCTCCATGGAGCCCCCGGCGTGCGCAGGGGCTGCGGGGGAGGCGGCAGGGGAGAGCGGCGCAGCGCGCGCGAGGGAAGCGTGTGGGGCTTTCGGATGATGTCATGGAGCTGGCAGAAAATGCGCGGCTACTCCTCGAGTGCAAACAGCAGGAGCACTGGAGCTGCGATCTGCGCTAATGTGGCGTCAAGGAGAGTATTGGAAGTAAACTGACCTACCCACTAGGTGATTATTTCTTTCGAATGTTTCAAACTGGAGGCTACATAACTGCGCAGGAGAGCTTTGCAATATTAGTATTTAACCTTCTTCAAAGTGGGACTTCGATGGAGATGCTGTGTGCAACGGAACCCCCACAGACTTGTAGCTCTTTTTGTTTTATTAAAACTGAATTTGATGTCTTACCTTCTCAAAGGATATTGGTTTTCTTTGAGCAGCAGTGTGACCTTAATGTGTGACTAGTACAGATCTGAATACAGGTGAATCTATTTTTAGACCATCTACCTTGTAAGCTCATATGCCTGTGTTGTGCTCAAGAACTCAGCTCATTGGGTTGTGGTTCTGCAACGTGCTCTAGGCTGGCAGACCCGCGTTCTCCTTCAGTACACAAATACTTATATATTCACCTATTTGTACGCAGACACCTACTTTTGTACAAAATCCTTATTGCTCAACTCAGTAAACTTGTAAAGCATGCTTGAAGTGTTACTGGTTTTATGTCCTTTAATTTCATAGCCGCAGCTGGTGCAGAACTCCTTGAGTTGGTACCTGAGAATTTTTAACAGTTTAAGTGGGAGATGAAGGAAACGAYGTGAAGAGAGGTCTATCGATGAGGGATGATTGGGGCAAGTTTGTCATGGACTGAATTCTTAAGGGCACCTTTAGATATTCTAACAGTAGCACTTCAAAATACTGTATTCCATTATATATGGTTAGATCCTTAAATGTCAGAATTTTAACTTGCTAAAGTAATGCTATTTGTGTCACGGTGTATAATACTGCTTAACTTAAAACATAAATTAGGAGCTATCAAAAGCACTTTTCAAGCTGAGGACTGTTACAAGATTTTTTGGGGATAGGAAGCATGTGTGTGTGCCTGCAGGGCTGGGGAAATTATCTGTAGTCTGGTATCAAAACTGAGAGTTAGAAAAATGACACCACACACAGAAAAAGCAGGAAACAGGAAGAGAAGCCTGCTTTTCCTAAATGATTCTRTGATTACTGCCACTGCTGACTGCAGTGGTTTCCCCAGGAGCCACCACTGTCCAGCAGGTTCCATCTCCATCCCTGCCTGTTCCACATCCAGCCTAGTGCTTCCCGAGCAGCTCTGGCCGCAGACCGAGCGCTCCCCGGGCCCTTTCCTGTCACGGCTTTCGACATCCATGCGGTTCCCTACAGGCTGCAGCGTAACGCTGCATGTCTTACTACCCCCCTTAAAAATAATGAAAATTGAATAAACTAGATTTCAGTAGAGAGCTGTTGTCTCATGAAAAATGAAATACATAAAAGGTTTTTCATCTGATTAAAAGAAAAAAAAAAAACTCTCCGCTTGGGGGAACCGAGCCTTGGGTCTCGGTGGGATGTCAATCAGGAGAGAGCAGCTCACCAAAAATATTTTCAAGACAGCATTCCGGTTGTCGGAGGATGCTGTCCTTAAATATAATGTYTGGTCTTTAATAATAAAAGCTAACCCGGTTTAGGTGCTCATTCCCGCTTTCTTGCTGTTGAACTACTTAGGGTGTTTGCTGTTTTCCAGAACCCTTCTTGGGAATTGAGTGTCTTGTCATTCAGCCTAATCCTTTCTCTACTGATTGATTTTTAGAGGGGGGTTGCTTTCTGTGTTTGCTTTTAATTTGTATGATACTCCACCAGTAGGATGCGACATCGCAGACAGTGACATCAGTAGATTTGTTCTTTTCTTTTAATCCTCTATTGCTAGATTTTTTTTTTTAACTTCTGTATTTAGTCTATTCCGTAGAGTGTAGTTGTGCCACAGAATTTCAAGATATTGTTTTCAGGGTGATTTTCCAAATTTTCCAAAACTGCATTTTTTTCTGTCCTTTTTTTTCCCTTGCTTTTGTCACCATCGAGGGCTATTCGGCACGCACCACTGATTTAGTGCTATTTTGGTAAATGATATGTGCTGTGAATCCTTTAAAGGACAACATTGTTTTAAATGCATGTAGCATAGGAGCAATAATAGCAGCACTATGTTGTTCTCCTAGGAACAATGCCGTTCTGTTGTTTCAATAAACCGTAACCTACTCTCTGATTTTATTTGCTTGAGAAACATCTCAGGAGCTCATAAACCAGTATGTAAATACTGTTATCGTTCAACCAAATGCTGTAATTTTACCAAATAAAGAACACATTTTGTAATGGAGATGAACAGGCTGTCTCACAATTGGAGAGTTGGATGTAGAACTGCTTTTGAATGGAAAGGGCAATTTCAGCTTGGGGAGGTTGTCTGGTTTTTCTAGTATTTGTTTTGTAAGCTATGGAAATGTGCACAGGGGAAACTCTGGAGAAGCTCAGTTGATCTCAGTGGAGATAATTAATCTGAGAGCTATCCCAGTGAAAAAGGGGGGAAAATCTAGCTTTAAATTACAACCTATATAGCTAAGTCAGCCTTAAAATTAATTCTTCAGCAGGTGATTTGTTCTTTCCTGAAATATTTTTGAAGAGGGAGCTTGCAGTGTCATACATTTCTAGGGGAGCAGCTTTAGGAAATGGGTAGGATACCTCTGTGTGAGACTTGATGCTTAAGGATTATTTATGGTTTGTGGGTTTTCTTGCCTCTAAATATGAAAAGGAGTAAATAGTGATCAGAGGCCGTGGTGACTGGTCCCATGGGACTGTAAGGCAGAGGAAGGGCATTGGTCCCAGCTGGTTAACAGGGAGCTGCCAGGATGGATCCATATGCTTGTTTTAGGGCCCTCCATTTCTGCATTGGGAGCAGTGCTGTGTCCTGCTCAGCTGCCTGTCTGTCCAGAGCCTTCAGCTCACGGGTACCAGAGCCATTGGGATGGCGCTGCCCTTGGGCTCCCTGCAGTGCTGCCCGCGCAGGGTACGGGGGCTCAGTGACACCCTTCTCCTCCCATGGGACTTGATATTTCTCTGCCCATGGCTTGCACAGGATGCTGYAATTGCTGCAAGATCCTCTCCTCAATTATTATCCTCAATTGCTGTAGTTTTCGGTAGGAGTCAAAGTTCATACAGGTAAGATTTGAGGAACTTGTAAGTGTACAGGAATAATGCTGTACATAGCCCCATGTTTAGTGCACATTTCTGCC